ATGGATATGAGTCTGGGTAAACTCCAGGAGTCGGTGATGGACAGGGAGGCCTGGCATGCTGTGGTTCATGGGGTCACAAAGAGTCGGACACGACTGAGTGACTGAACTGAACTGAATATTTAAGTGATGCTAAAAGCTTTAAGATGGGACCATACACCTCACTGCCCACTAGCATTCCTTCCATCACGTCTTCTTCTCCCTTTCAGAAGTTAATAGAATTCTGCTGTGATTGCATGAGTTTATATTCTCACCAACAGTGTACAAGATGGAGGGTCTTCAAAAAGCTAAAAATAGAACTACTATATGACCCAGCAGTTCCACTCCTGGGTATATATTGCCCCAAATCCTCACTAATTCAAAAATATATATGCACTCCAATGTTCATAGCAGCATTATTTACAATTGCCAAGATACAGAAGCAACCAGTGTCTCCATCAATAGATGAACGGATAAAAAAGATACCACACACACACACACACACACACACACATGCACACGCACACACTGGAATATTACTCATTTCAAAAAAGAATGAAAATTTGCCACCTGCACCAACATGGAAAGATGAACACAGATGAACTTGGAAGGCATTGTGCTTAATGAAATAAGTCAGACAGAGAAAGACAAATACTATATGATATTACATGTAGAACCTAAAACATGCAACAAACTAGTGAATATAACAAAAAGAAACAGACTCACAGATATAAAGAATAAGATAGTGGTTACCAGTGGGGAAAGGGAAGAAGGGAGGGGCAACATAGGGATTCAGAGGCACAAAATAAGCTACAAAGATACATTGTACAAAACAGGGAATATAGCCAATATGTCTTAATAACTATAATGTATTAAAACCTTTAAAATAGTGAATCATTATATTGTACACCTGTGACATATAATATTGTATCTCAACTGTACTTCCAAAAAAAAAAAACCAAAATAAAAAAAGAAGTTACAAGAATTCTATACTTAGTGTTTATCAGTCCCCTATATTTCTTTACATTTGCTATATTTATGTACATGTGTACATTTTGTCATGCACATGTGTACATTTTGTCATATTTTTTTAAAATATAACTTTTAAAAAGAAAGTTGAATCCAGTTTGTATGACCCTCAAAGGAATATTACAGTTTCAGGGATTCTAATCTTAGAACCATTGGATGGACTAATCTCTTAGGCTCTTCTGAGATAGTTACCTAGTGACCACAATTTCACACTCCTGGCAGATAACTTGAACACCATGAAACATAAACATGTGTCACAGCACACACCCAACAACATCCTGGAACCAGAAAATACCAGTGAGCAGTAGTGACTTGGAAATCTCTTCCTCACTTTGTCTTCAGTGCCTGCAATCACACCACGTTAGTAGATTGAAATTCACCATGGCTGGAGCATTTTTATCATGGAAATAGGCAAGAACTGCAGGCAGGGGTGTTGTAAACACAGCAAACCACTGAAGGCACCCAGTTCTAAGGCACCTTGGATGGAAAAGCGACAAAGTTTTTCAGCTAACCTTTCAGATACTCAAAAGGTGGGGGAAAAAGGAAAAATGAAGAACTAAACTTTGTTAAAGATTAAGATTTCACAGCCCAGATAGACTAGTATAGAAAATGTTAAGTGAATTCAGATGATAATTTAAGAAAACACTGTGCAAAATATCCAGATATAATCATCCAAAGTAATTTACAAATTACATTTTGTCCAGTAGAGAACAAGATTATCTCTTTAAGAATTCTTGCCCTGAGGAAATAACTCCTCCTATACCATTATACCTGAGTCTCTGGATCACTTATCTAGACCATCTCTAATTCCTGAAACCAAAAAGAAAAAAAAAAAAAGGGAAGGAAGACTGAAAAAAAAAAAAGAAAAAAATTTTTTCCAACTGTTATTTACAATTAGAGCTTTATATTGTGATATCTGATTCATAACTAAGTTTGGAAAACAAAACTATAAGATCTCTTGGGTCTATTTGGATATATGTATGTCTCAGTGTGTGTCTTTGTTTTTGGATATTGTTGGGATTGGTTTGTAAATGAGCTCTAATCTAATTGGCCTAAAGAAAAATAAGCGCTTACAAATCAAGTAATTCTAAATACAAGAGAAATTAACCTAAATGAATTTCAGGTTCACATGAACTGGGACATAATCATCATTAAATACCTGGTTTTAATGTTTGTTTGTTGATCTAAGATAGACATGTCTAAGACATTAAGCATAAATTTCCATTGGCCTAGGTTTAATATAAGTTAAATATTGTTATTTTGGGCTTTCCTGGTGGCTTAGACAGAAGGAATTCACCTGCAATGTGGGAGACCTGGGTTCGATCCTTGGGTTGGGAAGATCTGCTAGAGGAGGGCATGGCAACCCACTCCAGTGTTTTTCCTGGAGAGGAGCCTGTCCTTTGCATGAACAGAGGAGCCTGGTGGGCTACAGTTAATGGGGTCACAAAGAGTCAGACACGGCTGAGCGACGAAGCACAGCACACAGTAGAGAACAACTCCAAAAGGGTATGGGGTTTGATTGCCCTGCAGGACAGTAACTACTTAGGTCTCTTAAATTGTGAGCGTATTTTAGCAGCTTTGCTTTTAATTGATTATATGTACATCAGTCGCCACTTTTTTATAGGTAAGAAGTAGATTTATTTAGAGAGAAACTCAATCCACAGACAGAGTGTGGGCCATCTCAAAAGGTAAGAGTGGTGTCCTGTGAAATACCTTGGCCGTCTTGCTGATGCTTTCCAAACCAGTGAAGTAAATCTTTAGGTCATGCATCTTCAATGTCTGCAAAAGTGCTATATTTTAAAATATAGCACTAATGATCTCATTTTGACAAAGGAGATAATGGGCTGAAACTAAAGATTTCGGCCATTTTTCTGTCTCGTCAAATTCAGGGCTGTTAGCCTAGAGGAGGAGAAACTGTGGAGACGTGAGGAAGGAAAGATTCAGAAGGCACTGTGTTGTTGGATGAGCTGGTTGCCTTGTTCATCAGAGCCAAGCCTTGTAGGTCTCGAAATGTAACCGAGTCTGGCTATAATAAGAACTGAAGAAAATCTTAACCACAAACAGATAGATGTTTTGCCAAAAAGCCTGGTGCCTCTCTGGGCAAACTTCACCAAAGAGCTTTAGGAAAGCTCAGCTGTTCACTCCCCACTCCAGAAAGGAGGACATGAACCCTGCTAACTAAACAATGCCACCAAGATGGTCCATAGCCAGCGTAATGTCAATAGTAAGAGTTCCTGCCTGTTAGAAGCTGGTGGGGTTCTGTTATTGTTGTTATTATCTGCCCCCCTCTTCCAGGAGCCTTTAGATGTTTTCCTATTGACTTCACTCATTTTTTTTTTTTTCCTTTTTCCCCTTTTCTGGCCATACCATATGGCATGCAGGATCTTAGTTCCCAACCCAGGGATGGAACTCATGGCCCCTGCAGTGGAAGACTGGTGTCCTAACCACCGGACATCCAAGGAATTCCCTCATTAAATGTTAACACCACAGATATACTGTATACTTATTTATATGTCAGATGTATTTCTGTGATTTATACACAAAAACAGTAGGATTTTGAGACTTCCCCAGTGGACCGGTGGGTTAAGAGCCCACGTTTCCAAGGCAGGGAACGTGGGTTTGATCCTTGGTCAGGAACCAGGACCCCACATGGCACACAGTGCAGCCAACAAGAAAAAAAAATTTAAAGTAGGATTTTAAATATCCCCCCCTCCAAATATCCCATTTATTGTGAAGTGGGTTTTGTGAATTTGACAATTGCTGAGTTTGATCTGTCAGTAGAGAAGTTCAGGAGGCAGGTGCCTCAACTGACCTGGCACTTCATGGGCAGATATACGTGGGGGTGGTCAGCATGTACACGTGCTATGCATTGAATTTTGTGCCCCGAATCCAAATGTTGAAGCCCCAATCCCACGTACATCAGAAGGTGGCTGTATTTGGAGACAGACGTTTACAGAGGTAACTGTAACATTTAACCAAACTCATTAACTGTAACTCATTTAACCAAATGAGGTTTTAGGTCAGCCCCAAGGCAATACATCCGGTGCCATTACAAGAACAGAGGTTAGGATACACAGAGACACACACCAGGGACACACAGAGAAAAGACCGTGTGAAGCGGCAGAAGGAGAGGGACCGTGTACACACACCAAGGAGGGATGTCTGGGAGGAATCCAATCCCGCCAGTACCTTGATTCTGAACATCCAGCCCCCAGAACCGCAAGGAAAGTAATGCATGTTGCTTAAACCACTCAGTTTGTCTATGGCAGCACTCGCTACCACAACATGATAGCTGTTGTCATGGAACAGAGAGATCTACGTGGGAGCTGAGCAGTCTCAAGACTTTGGGACTGTTCACTGAAGCCAATGCTGCCAAGAGGGCAGAAAGGACAAGGCCTAGAAGCTTTCTGTTGGCTGTGGCAACAGGAAGGAGGAGCTAAAAAATGGGAGGGAAATGGAAAAGTCAGCCTTTTGCACATATCATTCTACTTGACCTTCTTGTCCATCTTGGGATGGAGGCACCATCTACAATTAATGACTGGTACAGCTATGACTGGGCTTCCCAGGAGGCGCGAGTGGTAAGGAAGACACCTGCCAATGCAGAAGATGTAAGAGACGCGGTTCACTTCCTGGATCAGGAAGATCCCCTGGAGGAGGGCATGGCAACCGACTTCAGTATTCTTGCCTGGAGAGTCCCATGGACAGAGGAGCCTGGCGGGCTACTGTCCATAGGGTCACAAAGAGTTGGACACGACTGAAGCAACTTAGTATGCAAGCACAGAGCTGTGATGGAAACCAGGGGTGCTTGACTCCCAAGAGCCCCCTCCTTCTATTGCACCTTCTATCCTGTTCCTGAGAGTGAAGGCCCAAGGGTGTCCGTGTCTCTGCAGCCTCCGCCAGCTCAGCCCCCTGGAAAGTGAGTGGCTACTTCATTTCCTGTTCCGGCCAGTTACTGTCCCCTAGGAGACTCAGCTCCACTCCAGTTGTCCCAACATTCTAAGGATGAAAGCCCTGGGAGGGCCTGGTGTGTGGCTGGACCACACTGACTCCCTCCTAAGCCCACAGTCGCACCCTCTCCCAGCTCCTGGTGACTGAGTTTCAGCCTCCTCACCAGGAATGCACCCAAGCCAGCGGAGCTCCCTGTCCCCCTGCACCCTTGTCTCCATCTGATATGAAAACTAGAAGAGTGCCTTTTGCTGGACACAGATGGTGAAGGGCCATGAGACACCTGGGTGGCAGAAAACGCCTGGCTGTGGCCGATGCGGACACGTTTCTCACTCGCTAGTCAAGGTTCGGTTTTCCCCTTTGGCCCCTTTGGTCCTACTGTCCTCTTTGGGTGCCAGGGCAGCTTCGAAGGCCTCTGGAGTGTGTGTCCACACAATCCTGCCTGCCTGTATGTAAGTTCCCCAGGACAAGCTTCACGACTGCATTTTATGGAGCTGCCTGCTACACTTCTCAGTCTCAGGAGCCCCTCTCAGTTCAGAGTGTATTATTCCACATCTCCGCCTCCCAGCAGCTGGCATGGAGGGGCGCTCCCACGTCTCCCCAGGATAGTCCTGCTGCTGTCACAGCCCCCAGGGACCCTCTCCCAGCTCTGGGGTCTGAGCTCAGCGGCTTCGACCTGCTCTCAATCCATTTGGAGACACGGAGTCGACAGCAGTGGTCCCGCCTTCTTCCTGCATGGCCTGTGGCTTCTGCCAGCTTCCTCCTGGCTCTGCCCACAGCCTGGGCAGCTCCACCCATTCTGCCAGGGTCTAATTATGAGAAGCAGACCTAAACATTCATCCTGGTCTGTAGGAAAACAGATGAGATCATGGAACTATTGACATTGATCTTTTTTAAGGAAAACTTACAAAGAATAGAGGAGGAGTCAGCAGATTAGCATTGGGAAAATGTTATTTCAAGGGGAGAGTTTATTTCCCGAATATGGTCAAGAAAGAAATATTTAAGCTAGTGGGTTGTGCAGAACAATGATGCCTGGGAGACATGAGTATGCTGCCCCTAAAACACGAACATCTTGACGTTTTGTTGTTTCTCAGCAATAGGGCAGGGGCTATTTTGACTTCATGAAGGAGTCTGACAAGCTTCTCAAAATATTCTAAGAGATACAATGTGGGTGGGATGGCAATACAGTCTGCTAACCTAACCACAAAGCCTCTAGAACACATCTATCCTTTCAGGTCCTTGGACCAAAACCTAACAGTGCTGGGTCTCTTTCTGCTTCATTCCTGTCAATCAGCTTAATTCATCTTTGCAACTTAACCTCTGGAATACTTCCAGCCTCATGTAGATTCAGCTTGACCCGACTTTCATCCTCCCCTTGGAAGAAAATGCATTGACTTTAGCATGCAACTAAATTGTCGAGAGAAATCAGAGAATGGCAATGACAGGCGGGCAAAGATTTTTAAATAAGATATAAAAAGTAAGTGCATGCAACTACTTCTGTAGAATATTTAAAAGGAGCAAACCACTAAAAAAGGGATAAACTAGACTTCATTAAAATGAAAAACTTTGAAAATTAAAAAATTAAAAATTTGGTCCAACGAAACTCATTATTAAAAAGCAAATATACAAAGAACTTAAATTCAGAATATATTTTTTAAAAACCCTGAAAACCAGTAAGAAAAAAGACAAAATGAATTTTTTAAAGAAGCAAAAGATTTTAACATAACCCTTCATGAAAGAGACTACGTAAATCTAAAGTACATGAAAAGGTGTTCAATGCTATTACTCCTAAGGAAAATCAGAATTAAAACCAAAATGACATACATCCATGTAAGCAGCTGAATAGATAAAATTTAAAATCATATCAAGTGTTCCAACCATGAGGAGCAACTGGAAGTCTCCTACACTGCTGAAAGGAGTAAAATTTGGTCCAACCATGCTGGGAAACTGGAATATCTACTAATATTTACACTCACTCTGTAACAAGGAGTTCTAGGTCTAGGCATACCTTTAGGACGGGGCTTCCCAGGTGGCACTAGTGGTAAAGGATCTGCCTGCCAATGTGGGAGACATAGAGACTCGGGTTCAATCCCTAGGTTGGGAAGATCCCCTGGAGGAGGGCATGGCAATTCACTCCAGTATGGACAGAGGAGTCTGGTGGGCTGTGGTCTAGAGGATCGCAAAGAGTCGGACACAAGTTAGCATGTGTGCATCCAGGATAAATGAGTGTACATGCTGACAAAAAGACAAGAATATCCATGGCAACCTAATTCACAGTAGCGCAAACTTCTAACAAATTAAATATCCATGAACAGGAAAATAGATAAACAAATGATGTTACATTCATACTAAGAATAAGTATTCAGGGATTAAAAGGAACAGATTGTTGATATAGAGCAAAGAAGCCAGTCACAGAAGTGTATATAATTTATGCCACAAATCAGGCAAAAACCAAACTATGGTGACAGCTAACAGAGTATCGGCCACTCTTATTCGGGAATAATATTGACAAAAACCATCTGATATGATGGAGACATAAGAGATGTGAGTTCTCTTATGTCTCTCATGTCTCCACAGTGCTTTGTGGACTGAAACATTGAGGCTACAGGTGTGTGATGCGAAAAGTTAACTAAGCTACATATATAAGATTTTTCTTTTACTGTATGAAAATTATGTCTCAATAAATATATATATATTTTTTAAATGAGGGCAGATAGAGGCTAAGATATTCCAGTAAAGGCCTCAAAAATACAAAAAGCAGTCTCTCTTCCTATTCCTTCTTTACGAGCCACCCTGCAGAGTCTAGAATCACTCCATTTGGGGTCCTAGACCCATTTCTTTTTTTTTTTCCCTCATATCACCCCCAACTATGAATCTTTTATTCTAGCTCTAATAAATTTCTTGCCACTATACGAAATGTGAAAATACCAAGAGTCCACCTTTTTTTCTTCTTACTGAGATTGCCTATATCTTTTTAAAATTTATTTTTAATTTTATATTGGAGTAGAGTTGATCTACAATGTTGTGTTAGTTTCAGGTGTGCAGCCAAGTGGTTCAATGATACATTCTTTTTCGTGTTCTTTTCCCATTTAGGTTATTGCAGAATATTGAGTAGTGTTCCCTATTTCTGTTGACCAATAACTGGAATGCTTCAGTGGAGAAATACTAAATTTGACAGCCTCTAAGTCACCGGTGATCACAGAAGGTCCATAGTTTCACATACTACCCAGTAAGCTGAACATTGCCATTTAAATAATCACATCACACTTTCTTATCCTTTAGAATTTATTTCAATTTTATTGAAGGAGGTCTCAAGCCAGAAGGCTTATCTAGATATATGGCGCTATTATATATACTTTTTCTGCATACATTAAAAAAATAAGGGAAATTATCGGTTGATATAGTCCTAAAACTCCTTCATAGACTGAATCTGGTCTTTCAAGAGCATCACCTTTTAAAAGAGTGCTGCCCACTCTAGTCTGTGGGAATTCCCAGCCTTTGCCACCAACAGTGCACATCTGATGCTGGTGTTTTCTTTATCTCATAGAAGAAATCAATGAAAGGTTTTCAGATGACAACCTAGACTCTTATTCCTTCCTCAAATGGTCCTGAAATGCTATGTGGACTGAAATGCCAGGTGTCCACTCAGGCCCCCAAGAATAACAAGCAGGTTTGCACACAACCAGGAAAGGACAATCACTCCATGTTCATGTGGCCCGCAGGGACTGCAAAATGCCCCCAACCTGTGATATCCACAATTTCAGAGACATAAACGAATACATAAAGTATCTCATCCTAAGTCCTGGTCAGTGACTGAGTGACTGGAAGGTTTTGCAAACACCTTAAATCTCAACAGGATGATCAGCCTGAGGTCACAGAAGAGTCATTTCACTTGTATCTCTCAAACTACTGTCGAGTTGTACCTAAAGAAACAGTGGAGATTCAGAGTGACCTGAGCAGAGGTTTCAAAAGGGTAGGACAAAAAATAAGTTGACCACACTACTCCCACCTAAAGGGAGGTGGCCTCCTGGTACCCGTCATGGGTATTTTCCTGTAGAGGAGGTGGACGCCTCCAGCAACCAGACCTGTATCCTTCAAGCCATTCAGATCATCCCACCATGCCCCTTGCCCTGTCTCCACGTTCATAAGCACAATTTGCGTTATGACCTGGTGCTCTAAGTAGGTTCCCTAGAAGAAAACACACTGAGTGGATGGTGAGAATTACCGATCCACAGCGTATTCCTCTTTCTTACTGCAAATCCATCTGCCGGCACCTTGGCTCATGTGACAGCTCTTGAGTTATGTCAGTTAGCAGGAGTCCATGTCAGCTGCAATTACCACCTGGACGTGCTGGCAGAAAGCAACTGGATCCAGCTATCCACCCACTGCCCCCCGAGACTTCATGCCTCTCTTCATCTGCACCCTCTGCTCCGTGACCTTGCGGGTCCCCCCAAGAGAGGCAGAGCATACTTTCCTGCCCCCATGATGCTGGGCTTGGTTGTGTGACATGCTTTGTCCAACAGGATCAGTGACATGGGCACCAGCTTCAAAAGTACTTGGGCAGCAGGATTTGCGCCCTAAGTGCCTCTGTCACCACACGAGGACCCATCTCAGACAGCCCAGGAGGCTGAGACACGTGTGCACCTGAACCAGCCCAGACCTGGGAGCCACCCCCAGACAAGCTCCAGCCAACTCGCAGACGTGAGCATGAGAAGGAAATGCTTGTGGTCACGAGCCTCGAGTCTGGGGCGCTTTGTTATGCAGCACCATTGAAGACGACAGCTGACTGATGCACATTTCCAGCCAGTCTCACTGCAGCTGTCACAGTGCCATCAATGATGCGCAGTTACCCCACCTGGAGCTCTTGGGAGCCCAGGGCTCCCTGTCCCTCTGGATCTAGGGCAGCTGGGTAGGCCTCCCTGCGGGTGGAACTTCTTCCAACCCTCTTCAACTGTCCCTGTCTCTAAGCTTCACCTGTGTCTGGGACTCCGAAACTACAAATCCTTCTTCCCCTCCTTGAACTGAACCTCCCTCGGCCTGGCATCACCTCTGCGGCATCTAGACCTCTTCCCCCAAACCCCCCTTGTCTGCTTCAAGGCTTTCTCTCTGCCTTCTTGCTCTACTGTCTTCTGTCCCTGCCCTGGTCCCCAGCTGGCTTGGAGGTCACTGTCAGAGCACAGTGCCATTAGGCAGACTTTTTTCTTGGGCCATTTCTAACCCCAACAGGCCCTCCCTTAGAACTTGGTCTTATAATGGGATATATGGCACAAGGGGCAAGCACTGGGTGAGAAAAGTGCAGGGAGCATCTTGGCTGAATTCAGGTCCCCACACCCGACCTTCTAGTA